CCCAAACAGTAAAGACCAACAAGCTGCAAGGACTTCTCAGCAAGGGAAAAGTGTCACTGCAGGCGCAAAGGGGAGCTTAAGACATTGTAAGAAAATCTATTGATGGGGATGATTCGCACTGTCAATCAATTCTAATTACTGTACTTGAAGGAAATGTCCCCTTCTGTGTTGCCCCCCCCCACCTGTGGCAGAGCATCCGTGGGGGCCCTGCTGACACACTTGCAGAGCACAGAAACAAACTGACCCTGCCCAGAGGGCCCTCATCTAGACCCCCCTCACTGTATGGAACAATATGGAGTTCTGTTCTGGGAGTTTCCATTGAAGAACACCATTCAGTTATGCAGGGCATTGGTTCCCAAAGAATTAGACGGTGCCACTGCTTTCTGGTATAGAGGTGGCATTTGGTCAGATGGATGGAGATTGACAAGGAAGTCTAAGACGGTTTCTTTGGGGGGGGAAATTCTATTTACTTTGATAAAGTTAGACAATTGGAAAAGTTCCACAAAGAAAAATCCTAAATTAATATGGATTTATTAGTGTACAGAACCACTGTGGGTCTCTTTCTTTTGACGCTTAATCTATAGTATCCTGAAAACACAAACACAAATGGATACCCAGCGGCACAACTTAACACAGTTCACTAAAAGAAAGAGAAGCTACATCATGATCAACTTTGAATGTCAATATATTTAAGACGAAACCAGTGTAAATTTCTGATGGCTACAGCAAAAATCATGGCACATTCTTTTTCTTTTCTTCTTACATTTTCTTTTCTTTCCTTTTCCTTTTTTTTTTTTAAAGTTTGTTTTTGACAGAGAATGAGCCAGTTATTATGGGGTCTTTAATAAATGAGGACTCCTGGAAGTCCTCAATTTTCTAAAATGGTACCCCAGGGGCTTGGAATAGAAATGCAAAACTCACAGTACTCATTTCATCTTGGTAAGGTGCTTACCTTGGGAGAACTTTAGCGTACTGGATTTTCTAAAAGGCGTAAGGAAAACTCATGTAGCTTTTCAGACCACCACACCATAGGATATCATTAAAGGAGAGTATGCCTTGATGAATCATCAGTGTGTACTGAGAGAGGAGAGGAGAAAATGAGAGAGAGACACAAGAAGAAATGAAGGAGCGTGAGGCAGAGCAGAAATAAAGAGCAGCGAGAAAAAGGCAAGCAGAAAAGGAGAGAGGCGGGAGAGGGTCCCACTGGTAGAGGAGGGGGACAATTTCTCAACACCAGCATCTGCTGTATGTATAAGCAGCAAGAACGGGAGACTGCAGGCAGGTGTGCAGATGCCTGTGCAAAAAGGCATTCTAGAACGGTAATTGTACCAATACTTTAGCAGGCAACTTTCACTTATGTTCCACATCACGAGCAGTTAAGCAGTTAGATATATTTTCATTTTCCTGTGCTTCGGTCGTTCAGATTTAACCTTATTCACTAATTCACTTACTCCTTCTACTTTTAGATATTTATAATAAACCCTTTATTATTTTCATTTTTTTCAGTATTTTTCTTTTGGGGGTAGCGGTCGCAGTGATTGGTACAAAAATCTTTTCTCATGTTCTATCTTACGCTAAATATTAAGTAAGTCTAGTGTCGCAAACACAGCTGGATCGTTAGTTCCTCAGGTCTTCATTAGCCATTGGTGAAATGAAATTAATTCAAATATGACGACTACAAAAGAGCGAAGCGTGTTGACAAAAGCATAAAGAGAACCCTAATTTATGATTTGTCAGTTTCTCTTCCTGGTCACAATCACCTTTTGGTGATTAACAAGAGCAAAACAGTAGGAAGAGCTGGATGTAATAACAGCTTAAAAAGTGACACCAAGGGGCACCTGGGTGGCTCAGTTGGATAAGCGACCCCAGCTCTTGATTTTGGCTCAGGTGATGATGTCAGGGTTGTGAATCAGGCTCTGTGCTGGGTGGGGAACCTACTTGAGATTCCCTCTTTCCTTCCCCCTCTGCCCCTGCCCTGCTCCCTCTCAAAAAAAAAGTGACACCAGAAGTAGTTTCCCTTAAAAACCTGGCCATCTCATAAATTACACATCATACTGTAAGAGAAAAAGGGGGGAAAGCCACCGCGTTTCTCTTGGAAAATAGTTGAAGCTTTAAAATGTGAATTTAGGGGCGCCTGGGTGGCTCAGTCATTGAGCATCTGCCTTCGGCTCAGGTCATGGTCCCAGGGTTTTGGGATCGAGCCCCGCATCGGGCTCCCTGCTCTGTGGGGAGCCTGTTTCTCCCTCTGCCTCTCTCTCTCTCTCTCTCTGTGTCTCATGAATAAATAAATATTTAAAAAAAATTAAAAATAAAATAAAATGTGAATTTAATTCACAAAACTTCAAGAACGTCTTTGTAATACCAAAACCTGAAACCATTAGGGGCTTACTAGGAAGACCACATCCCAAACTGGTCAGTTAGCTTTCTTTATCCGCTGTACTGACCGATTTCAGGAATCCTTAAGAGTTTCAAGCAGCGGCAGAGCCATGCCAGCACTCCAGGCCAAGCACAGAATGGACCAGAGCTGTGTCCCCAGCCTTGGGAGCTCTCCATTCTTACCGTTCGTATAAGCTGGCTCTCTGCGCAAAAGAAATATCCTGGTGGCCTCTAGGTGTGGAAGGGCCTGGTTTGGGAAGAGAGAGCAGAAACAATGCAGGAGCCAAACTGCTCTGCGGAAGGAGGGCAGAGGAATTTTGAGTTTTCTTGTGCAGCCTGAGAGGGGAGTAGGAGACCAAAAGAAGAGAGAAGAGATGGAGGAGACTGTGGAGAGACTAAGGAAAGACACGACAAACGAGCGCCCACCAACAAACCCCCTGCAGGCAGAGAATGGCCCGTATGTTTGCACGGTGGAAGCTAATGCAGCAGACCCTCGAACAACATGGGTTTGTACTGCATGGGTCCACTTAGAGGTTGACTGTTTCCAATAAATACAGTGCAGCACGCGAAATGTATTTTCTCTTCCTTATGATTTTCTTAATAACGTTTCCCCCCAGCTCACTTTGTTCTAAGAATACAGATGTAACATATAAACGATGTGTTAATTGATTGTTTATGTTATCGGTAAGGTTTCTGGCCAACAGCCGCTATTAGTAAAGTTTTTGGGGAGCCCAAAGTTATATGAAGATCTGTGTGGGAGGGGTGTCAGCACCCCCAAACCCCATGTTGTTCAAGGGTCAACTGTACTCAGTTCTAGGTTATCGCCTAGCTGGTCTATACCGCAGCCTCCTACTCTGCATTGTACAACTGCCATGTGTTGGGGCTGCTTTAGGGAAATAGAGAGGGTGGCGTGCTGGGGCTGAGGTGGCCAGCAGGGAAGGGAGTAAGCACAGAAACCCAGTGGGACTCAGAAGCAGGGACGGCCAAGAGCTGGCTGCACTGTGGTGAAACCAGAGGACTTCCAGCTATCTGGAACGGGGGCTTCTCAGCATCCTCCGCAGAGTGGCCCTCGTGTGGTTTTAGTCTCACTATAAAGGGAATGGCCACTCGCTAAGGCACCAGGTCTTGGGGATACCTGGGCCCCAGGCATCTGGGCTCTAGGACTGGAAGGAGGGAAGGAGCCCTGGCATGTGTTTTAGAGGGAGTGTTGGGGTTGTTGCTTTAAGAAGCTTCCACCCAGACCGGCCCCAGATGCGGACAAGCAATTTGTCTTCACGTTAGTGGAGAAGGGAGACGGGCTGCTCGGCCTCCGTGCGGTGCTCGCCACGGATGTCACCAGTGCAGACTCACCTGGAGGGAGAAGGCCCGCAGGGCGGGAATGGGGATCAATGCGGCCATGAAGAAGGCGGTGACATTGCTGATGGAGGTGAGGGCCACACTGGCTCCCGTGCGCTTGAGGCACTCTCCAGTCCTGTCCTGAGGACGAGAAACCAAGGTGCTGAGAGCCGCAAAGCGCAGGGGCCCCCAGATCACAGATCGTGCCAACAGTCCAAACACGTGACAAAGTGGGACAACAGGTAGTTTATCATGCTGACGTCAGGGCATAAGGAAGGGCTCTCTCTGCCCACCCCCAGCGACACTGGCATCGAAAACGTTTTCAGGACTATCTATACAGTCCTGGGTTGTACCTGGTTACCATATCCAAAGCACAAAGCTGAAAGACAATGATTTAAGTCAATTTTTAAGATTTAAAGGGTGTGTGCTGGGGGGGTAGGGGGATGGGGACAAAGTGACCCCCAAACCCCACAAAAAACCCAGAAAAGCAAATACGGGCTTTGGAAAAATCGTTCTGTGGTTCCTCTGATTTCTTTTACTTATTTAAAGTCAGTAACATGTCACTGACTTGGGACTGAAATATTTACTAGGCCAGATTAAAGAAAATTAAAGGACAAATACTCAAGAACAGAGGGGATTTTGGCTGGCCCCAAAGCTTTCTTCTTTTGTTTTTCTATTACCTCAAAAGGGATTCTTTTATTCTGTCCTGTTTCACTAAATGCATGTGCCAAAAGGAAAACATCATCCACACCAACGCCAAGAGCAAGAAACGGCAAAACCTGCAGCGAACACAAAGGGCAGTGCATTAAACACATGAAGTCCAATTCGGATCATTCTAGAGCCACTGAGAACACTGCCCTCAGCAGCTACCCCAAGGACAGCTTACATCAGCTCACGTGAAGAACCTAGTTCCGAGGGTTAAGATTCCCCGGATCTAGCCGTTTTAGCTCACAGGAGGTCTTATCCATTTCTATTTTTAAGCTCCACTATTTTATTTTTAAAGCTAATAAATGAGGGTGCCTGGGTGGCTCAGTCATTAGGCGTCCGCCTTCAGCTCAGGTCATGATCCCAGGGTTCTGGGATCGAGCCCCACATCGGGCTCCCTGCTCCGCGGGAAGCCTGCTTCTCCCTCTCCCACTCCCCCTGCTTGTGTTCCCGCTCTCGCTGTGTCTCTCCTCTGTCAAATAAATAAATAAAATCTTAAAAAAAAAAAATAAAGCTAATAAATGAGAAGGAAGCTAACTCATCAAAAGCAGTGGTTCTCAGAGCATGATCCCTGGACAGGCATGGTTGAGAACTGGTAATTAGAAACTCTGGGGGCAGGGCCCGGCAGTCGGAGGTGTGGCCAGCCCTCCAGGCAACTCTATGGCACACTCAAGTCTGAGAACCGTGGCATGGCTCTAAAGAACGGTCTTCACTGCACTGGTAAGTGAAACATCTCTACCATCAACAAGCCCGCGCAGACCTTCCACCCCCTGCCGAGTGCTCCTCTCTCTCTCTCTCTGAGACAGCACCCCCCTCCTGGTGGTAAAGGCCGGAAGACCCTGTAGGTGACATGGACACATAGGAGGCTGCTGGGCCAAGCCCGCCTAGGGGTGTTTGTCAACAAACAGTGGATAGGTGGCTCCCTTAGTACCTGAGTTGTTGCAGCGTTAAAGGAAATCCCGATCAATGAGCACAGGCCCAATCCTGCAGCCACGGACAGTGCAACCAACAGGACGCCAGCCAGCCCCACGGCACCCTGGGACTTGGAGCAGTCCCAGCGCAGCATGGTTAAACAGGCATAGGCAAGCTGCGAGCAGAACAACGGGGTGGGGGGCAGGGGAAGGAGTGAGGAGTGGGAAACGGGGGGCGGGGGGGAGACACAAAAGCCAAACATTAGAATGTGTAAGGATTCTAATGTTTTCCCCCACCCATCACCCCAAATCAAAAGGTAGAACTAATTAAATCCAACAACAACAATTTACATTACAGACATCACATGGAATAATATGAGTCAAAGATGGGCAAACTGCAAATGGGAGTAAATGCTTTACACGACCACTTTTGAAATCGTTATGAAGCCGAGCTCTCTCTGTCTTGAATGCACGTGTGTGTTAAGAGCAGTTAAAAAGCAGGAGCGGTCATGGAAAGATAAAAACTAAAAACCAAACCCACTCGCCCTTCCCCAAGGAGAACTGAATTGACTGTTACCATCAGTAGGTAGCCACTGGCCACTCGGATGACACTGACATCAGAGAAGGACTTCAGGATGTCGTCCAGGGTCGTCGTGGTAAAGGAAAGCACCTTCTGAGTGGAGTTCGGAGCGACACTTTGATGAACCACCTGTGGTCACAACATAAAGTCCCAAATGGAATGAGAGCTTCAGTGAGCTTCAACAGCACAGACCTTGGGGGACGCGTTCCCTCCACTCAACCCTCACTTTTTTCTGATGCGTTAAAAAGAGTTCTACATGATTTGGGTTTGAACTTGGACTGAGGTGACATGACCCTGGGCCTGGGACAATGAAGGCCACCGCACATCAGGTGAGAACGGGGTGCCGCGGTGAGGCGTCCTCACCTCTACGTGCCCTCACCTGAGACTACCTTCTCGTCTCTGTGGCTCTCCAACAGATCTGCGGTCCCATCGGCTCCCACCCCGCCCCGCCCCAAACCAAAACGACTCAGTCTTGTGGCCACTTCTCCCCACTTTGTTTACTGGCCACTTTTAAAAGGTCACATGCAGCTCAGTAGAGGTCACTGCTTGGGAAAGGCCAGCTCCTGTCACATGGCCTAACCAAGGGGACTGCAGCTGTGAACAGATTCTATGCTTTGCTAATGTTTTCCAGACACTTTTTCTTGCTAACCCAGTGTTTTTTTAAACACTGTTAGGCCTTCACTCTGGAGTTCACAACTGGTTACTCAGAACGTCTCAGGCGTCCCAATTAGAATTAGCCATCAGCCAGACACGAAGGTGTTCCATTTCTAGGAAAGGAAAAAAAGTTCACACCCCACCAGGTCCCCAAAATGACCATTTGTTTTGAAAATAGATTCTAATGAAAAAGAAGTTCTAAAACATGGCGACAATAAAGTACGTGGTAACTAAGGGGTCTGTCCCCAGGTTTCAAGCTGGGTGTCAGAATGCCGCCGATTTACCTCCACGTACGTCCTCTGCCAAGCCTCCAGGACGGCGGCTGCCTTGTCCTCGTTCCAGTTGATGTGTGAGACATACTCATACCCCTTGAAGTGTTCGTACATTTGCTTGGGAGTCATTAACTGAAACATGGTCTGCAGGGCGTGGGCACTGTGACAGGGTGGCAAAGACACGACATCAGCATTTCCAGGAAGCCGTCCTCGCTGCCTAAAATCCCGAACTCGCGCCCCCACCTCACTCGCGGCCATTCCCTCCTTCTACGTGAGCACATGTTTCCATTAAACGCGACCTGGATGGTTATTTTACTCAATAGATGGATATACCATATTAAAGGTGTAACCTTACAAACCTTTTACAGATAGACCCCAAAATTAAATTAATAAGCAATTTCCTTTCTCAGTTTCTATTCAATGAAACAGGAAGGGTAGGGGAGTAGACAGCTTGACCAGATATGCTGGGCTTGGCGCTGCACGCTCGCCTGTGCAGAAATCCCAGCCCACGGCTCTCCCAAGGGAGGGATCTCAGACTTGAGAGCGCCTGACGCTTGACCGAGCGGAGTCCGCAAGGGCACAGAGGAGAATTCTTAGGCAGCCGTCAGTTGTTGGTCAGCCTGTGACAGAGCTTAGCTCACACCTCTCCACCCTATTGCTCTGACCACTGTTGCCTGCCCGCCTGATGCTTGCCCCCACTTTCTACACAATCGATCTTCTAATCTTACAGTCACTAACTAGGGTCCTAATGAAAACAGCCAATCTCCCCCTGAAAAATTCCCCACAAGGTAGTTTTTCGAGCTGGTCTGATCCACTAGTATTTCCTAAATTCTATTACACCAGACGGCTAGCCAGGACAACAGTTAAGTATTAGTACAAGTACACTCGCAGATGTCAGGAGGGAAGTGGTTTCCGAGCAAAAGACAAAAAAATAGATGCCTTGGATTTTTCCTCCTTGTGCTGGATTACCTGACAAGCTTCCCAGTACTATTCTTGACCGTGCCACCCACAATCAGTTCCTCTTGCCAGTGCATATACTTTCTGGATAATCCATGACATCCACCATTCAAAACAAGGGCCACATCAAGAGGCTAAAATAAAAAGACAGCCACATAATTACGGGAATTAGTAGGCAGGTCACATGCCTTGTTAAAATCCAGTGCATTAAGGGCTTGTTTGTTTCAGAGAGAACATTAATAACAAGGCTAATGAGAGGCGTACGGCAAATCTTACATCAAAATTTAGCTCTATAAACAAACTTAGCTCCATAGACAAAAAAATAGTCGTTGAGAATCAGATCTTAAAAATGAAAATAATAGGACTAGGAATTGGGGGGGAAGACACCAAGCTTTCCTCTTGGGCCCCAGGAGCAGAATCAATGACTGTACTCACTTTGGTCGCGTTTTTGTTGGGGGCTGTGGCAGGGCAGTCTGGATCAGCCGGGTTGAGGCAGGGCCGGTCCATGTAACCATGACCAACTTCAGCCTTATTCAGCATTTCCTCCCAGCTGTCCACTTGATAGTTTATTTTCTTTAACTCTTCCAGGAATTCCAAAGGGTCAAAGTTTGTCCACTGCAAAGGAGGCTTACCTCTGTGAAAGAAATTAGAAGGCAAGGCCATGAAAAGAGGCTTTTCCAAGCCTCTGAGCCTGTGCAAATCGCATATACTGCGTCCGGATCGCACTAGGCTTTCTGGGAATGCGGCAACGCGGGGAGACCCTGGCACAGAAACCGAATGCCCCTTTCCCGGGGATCAGTATGCAAACCCGAGTCAGGAAAGTAATTCATGAATGGAAATGGCAAGCAGAGAGCTTGTAAATTAATGAAGAAATCAAAGACTCGTTACTGGCTGACACGTCATCTTTAATACCTGAAATCAAAATTTGCCAAAGGGTGCTCCTAAGCAGAAAACTGAGATCCAAAATTGGGAGGGGGGGGTGGGAGAAGAGGGAATCACAATGTCAAATTAGCACTTGTCAGCCTAGTAAATGCTTCGTAAATGTCATCAATCAAAATATTTGATCTCCATTACCTTCAATAATCCCATGCTTATGAGCTCTCTCTGACAGCCTGGCAGTCGACCCCAAAAGCCCCCTGCTGCCTCTGCCATCACCACCATCAAGGCCACTTCCCCCCACACTCACTTTTGAATTTGTGCTGTTGACAGACCAGAAAGGCTTTTGGCTGCCTGTTATGTGGTTCAAACCACACTGTAGCTGCTTAACCAGGCTGAAGTCATTATTCAGAATCTCCCAACCAGAAAACACAAAACCCCTTATTTCCCATCTAAAACTGTACACTGAAGGTCAGGGTATGGCCACTGCAAATTGCTTTTGCAGATATGTGTGAGCCAGGACAGAAACAATAACCCAAGCACGACCTCTTGCATAATTAACTGAAAACGTCTACACTGATTAACAATTATTCCCTAAATGATGCGGTGTATATAATATCCAACTGCTAAACCGTGAAGCATCCCCTACCATGGCCTTCAAAGATAGCGGATTTCCCCCTTCAATGTCATTAATGTGATCCAAAGAAAGGTTAGTATTTTACTCTGCATGAGGATCTTGAACTTAAACTCAATATATTTAATTCTGGTATGTACACACTAATAAATTCTCTCTCCTGAGAAAAGAAGTCAAACATATGACAGTGCTTGGTCAGCAAAACTGCAAACATTTTATTAAAGAGTTAAAAATCATACATACTCTGAAAGAATTTGCATTTTATTTGCATATAAATAGGTTGGTAAAAGTGAATGAAATTTAATGGTGCCTTCAGAACTTTTTTTTTGAAAAGAGGAAAAACATTCTGCTGACATCCCCTCTCCCCCAACTATTCACTCAAAAAATGCCCATGGAATTTCAATGTTTTTATTTCTTCAAAACTGAAATAGAATAAACAATGATCAAGGAGCATCCAAAACATTCTAAAGTTTAGAAATCACAGACATCAGAAAACAAGATCACACACTTACAGTAGGTACGCTGTCCCAGATTGTAACTTTGCCCCTTCCCAGAAGCAGTCCAAAGGTGTAATAATTAAACAAGGGTAAAGATATTCTATTATCTGTCAAAGTTAAAAAAAAAAACAGGCCACACGTTAGGCTAATGCATACCACTGAGGAATTTTTGAGAATTTCTGGCAAAAAAAAAAAAAAAAGAAGAAAATATACCTGATCCATGTAACCTGTTTCTGTGATAAGTTCTCCGGATTTGTAACACAAATGTTCCAATTTCCACTGCCTAGTAAAATAAAAAGCAGAGACAAACATTCTCATTATAGTAACGTAAGGAAATCAGTGCAAAATCGGAACTATAGAACATATAGAAAGAACTGCAATTTCTATCACTTTTAAGTATCTGTCAAAACGAGCACAACTTTTGCCAAGTAAAGACTCAACAAGCTTGCTTTAATGAATAGATAATACTCAATTGTAATTAACATCTGGATGTTTATGTAAATGAATGTTACCAAAGTACTTGAAAAGTCTTGTTTTCTTAAGTGTTCTCCCAATAATCTTGTTTACACCATTAATCTGTTTTTCTACATACATTGAACAACTTCAGGGAAGATAATTCAGAGTTGAATTATCACAAGTTCAAAATAAGTGGAGACTAATTAGTAAGGTTTATAACAACATTAACATATATTCAGGTAGGAAAATACTACTTATTTTTTTTACTGGCAGTTAATGTCCTTATTAACAGATAGTGTTCAAAATGACTTCTGCTCTTAACCGTGAATGCTGTAAACAACACTGGCAGGTAGACAGATTTCCTACTTTACAGTCTTTTATTCTTGTTCTGTAGAAATGATATTAAATATACTGATCAACAATTACCTCTATTATCTATCACCTATCTATTACTACAGAGTTCTGTCAACTCTGGAAAATTGCTCTGTAAGCCCATGCCTTTCCAAGTGCATCAGGGAGATAAACTTAACTTGAAACAAAGAGGAAATTTAAAAAGGATGGGGATGGGAAAACCAGGCTAAGAAAAAAATGTTTTTAAGTCTCTCTAAACTGCTCTATTTTATTGGTCTCCTTTCTTTTTTTTTTGTATTGGTCACCCAAAGGAATGTTCTGGACTTAGCCCACTTCCCTGTGGAACCTTCACATCTATACTGCAGGGTTCCCAGTGAAATGCCACCCCTTCCCACTAGGCTTTTTTTGCCCAGTGCTACTGAAAATCACCCCTTTCTCTTGAACTCCAGGGCACTGCTGGTCCGATCTGCTTGACACCTGGAACACCTGGGCCGGGGGGTGCCTGTGGTTGGCTTTGTATGTGCCCATCTACACTGATGTCTTCCCTCTTTCTAACTAGACCGTCAGTTCCTGAGTGCAGGGCTCAAGTTACTCATCCATCCTTCCATCCATTCATACACCCACCCACCCACCCACTCAGGCATATATGTATATGTTCATACTGAACTCCACACAGCATCGACATAGACTATCTGGCATGAGGAGGTCCTCAATATCACTTGGTTGGTGAACTCATTTACACTTCCTTGAGAAGGGGATAGCTGTGCATTAGAAAAACCCCTGTCTTAGAGCCAGAAGAAAGGGTTTGAAACCTGGCTCTAATGTTTAATAATTGTATGAACTTGGACAAATGCTCTAATTGATCTAATTCCTGGTTTTCTCACCTAAAAAATGAGATGGGTTGAACTAGGTGTTCTTTAAAGCTCATTCCAACGCATAAATGTTCTCAGTTCCATCTCAGAGAGTGTAATTTTATGGTACAGACACATCTTCTCCTTAAGTGTGTTAGTGACAAGTCCCTTCAAGATAGGGTCCCATTATGTTAAAAATGGGTCAGCATGCTTACAGTGGCCCTGGAATGCCCATTTCCAGGTTCTTTACAGGGCCTCTACTTACAAATTTTGCAGAACTGCACTGGGTAGTTGCTTCCTCTACAGAATGGGAGGGTTGTGCTGAAAGGAGCGGGGTGTGCTCACTAGTCAAGTCTGCCTGACGAAAGTGCTAGAATACCTCCTTACGTTTTTCCCTTTCATCCATTACATGTATCTCATTTTGTTCTCAGGGCCTCCTGAGGATAGTAGACCAAACGTGATCAGTAATTTAGTTTACAGATGAGGAAACAAGAGCGTGTGACTCATGCTGGACCCTAGGGCTCTGTCTCCAGCAAGGTGGGTTTTAGAGCCAATCCAGTTAAGCTATGGAGAGTGGAGGTTACTGTAGCAGCGACAAGTACAGATTTTCCTTTTATTCTCTCCCCTCATTCTCCCTGGCCACTGAATATGTCTACAGGGCCACTTACTCCCCTCTCCTGTGAAAAACTGTATTATCAACCACTCAGTTAAAAGGTGCTTCAAAAGGGCGCCTGGCTGGCCCAGTCAGTTAAGCATCTGACCCTTGGTTTTGGCTCAAGTCGTGATCTCACGGGTGGTGGATTGAGCCCTGTGTTAGGCTCCACGCTCAGCGTGGAGTCTGCTTGGGATTCTCTGTCTCTCCCTCTCCCTCTGCCCCTCCCCCCCACTCGTGCTCTCTCTCTTTAAAAAAAAAAAAAAGAGGTGCTTAAAAGCCTTGGTGAGGGACAGGATGGGGTTAGGTAAATGCTAACTCAGTAGTCCCCTGGAAACCGGCTTTAGTGATAGTCATCTCAATAGTTCAGGGAGAAGACCCAGTTCAAATTTACAATCTAGGCAGTTAGTCAATCAACAAACTCTTGAGTGCCCACCCTGATCTAAATGCTGGGGTGCAAGGATGGACAAGAGATGTGGTCCCTGCCCTGAATAACTCACTGTTTAAATAGAGAAGAAAAAGGACTGTCAGCTTTGCTCCAGAAGTCCCTGTATGTTTTTACTATACCCACAGCATTGTTAAATTAGCTATGAAGTTAAAGGGTAATATTTTGTGAAGCTGTGTATGATTCCTGTCAGTAAGAATTCACCAGAGTGGCTCAACCTGCTATACACTCTGTAACACATACCAACTGTCAGTAACTGTGGGGAATACAAAGAAACCAGAAGTAAGTTCTTACTTTTTCTTTTCCCATTCTTTTTAAGTTGACTAAAAGCAATTCCAACTGTAACTGCTCCAAAAATATCTTAAGCAATGAAACATCTTCAGAATGGGTGTATAGCCCCCCAGATGGCTGCTTGAAGGATCATACTCATTTGGGTATATAGTGCCAAGATACTTACTGAAAATACATTATCATGTATTTGATTTATTACCAAACTCCAGAAACAAAAATCAAGATTTTTAAAAAAAAATCACTTCATTAGAAAACTATTTGAACTAACACTCTAAGCATATTTCCAGGGTAACATAACTTACTAAAACCAGCAACTTCTTCCCACCAGCTTACCTGTTATACATATATACATGGACTCGGCTGGCCTGGAGTGCTGAGTCCAGGTGTTGTCGGAGAGCTTCTGTGGTCAGGACGTTAGCACCTTCTTCTTTCGGGGTCTGAATCATGAGTTGAGGATTAAACATAGCTTCTTCTCCAATCTTCTGGCGAGTATAATTTAATTCACGACTTACTCGTCCACCAACTGACAAACATGTACAGGTTTCAATTAGAGCAGCAACATCCCCACAAATTCATGTTCTGTTATCTAAGATGTGCAGGATACATGATAAGTGCTCTCTGTTCATGAAAACATATGGCTGATATTTGGGGGGGGTGGGTAACATTCACTTTATTATTATTGGCAATGTTCATTTCACCAATAAAAAACATAAAAAATATTCACTAAACCATGAACAACTGTCCTGCTCATTGCATATGCAAACCTAATGCATATGTGCTTTGTGCACCTTCTAACTAATACACCATATGTATAGAGGGGGAGGGGAGAGGGAGGGAAAACTTGAGACACCTTTTCCTTGCAGACCAGACCAAATACCCCTGTTACAATTTCTTTCACTTGTGTAAACAATGTGCCCCTGCAGCCCAGTTCAAGATAAATGGCTTCGATTTACACTCTTCTCCTAAATAATCTAGCAAAGGTAACAAGGAAATGTTTCTCCCCATTGAAAAAGAAACAAGGAAAGGTGGCAAATGTGTGTTTAGCACAAAACTTGCCAGGAGAAGATAAATAATGTGATTCACATCAGATGTACTTGAGAGGAAGCAAATGTATCAGCCAATGGCCCGGACGGCCAGTCTCTGGGTCCTAGCTCCATCAGACTCACCTGGTCAGCATCCTGGGAACAAAGGTGCCAGGTTCTGAGCTGCCCGTAACAGGCAGCCTGTGTTCCAGAAGCTCCCCCACGTGATTCTGAACCTGCTGCTGGGGCCAGAACCCCTGCCCCAGTACCAACCAGCTTTCCAGCAGGCCGACCACAGTGGGACAAGCCATAGGCCAAGGCAAAAGGTGCAAGGGACATTGTTACTGCAAACTGCTTTTTTGTCTTCTTTCTCAGGTCCTACGTTATATTTCAGTTATCGTTTTAGAACAAGCCAAGCTCAGAATGCTGCCACCTGGCTGGGAGGTATGGGGGGAGGGGAGTTGCATTTCCCAACAGGGTAGGTGTGTGGGGATGCTGCTGAGGAGAGTGCTCTTGGGGAGGGTGCTTTGATCCAACAGGGTCACAGGGAAGGGGCTGTTCAGGAAGGGGCCAGGAAGGCAACACAGAGAGAGAATCCTAGAACAGCACCCCCCCTTCTCCCTCTCCCTACACACACACTCCAAGGCTAGCTGATGAGTCTGAACAGTGACTCTGAATAGTTCCTGAAGTCACTGATAAGTTGCATGTTTACTGAAAGACAGGCCTTCAGCTGCAGTGTAGAAAGACCCTTCAACAATCATCCTAAGCTTTCCCACGAGGAGGAATCCTTTTTCTTCAAATTTAGTATTCAAGGACATAAACATTTGGTTTGGGCAAGTAAGTAAGTACTGGGAACAGCGGGTTGTTTAGTTCTCTTGGCATATTTTATAAACAAGGGGGCAGGCTAAAAAGCAAATAATGCCCTCATTAGGAAAGCTAGTCCAGATTCACAGACTGGCAGGATCATCTGTGTGGGTCCACGCAGATGGCCAAGGCCACTGCAGAATACTGTGAGGGGAGGCCGAACATACTGTGGGGTGTGTCAAAGAGAAGGAGAAACGGTGTGTGGGGGGGCGGGCATGGGGGAGAGGGGAGGGGCAGAGAGGGGAAATGATCAATCGGTTACACACAGTATTAAGACTCCCTGTGCAGAAAACTTTGACAGATGCCCTGGGGAATTGCTGAGGACCCTGCAACCAATTTGACGCTAAAGAAAGACCACAGGAAAACATAGGAAACTTGCAACAAAGGATAAATTTACATGAAGTCACAGGCCTTTTCAGGATGCTCTTCTAAAGCTGCCTGCAGGCAGGGTCTGGCTCCTTCTGGCAGGAATCACAATGCATTATTTCAACCAATTAACTAGTGAACTGAATTAGACTCAATCTACATTCTCTGGAGATAAAAAGGCTGTTTGAGGCTAAAAAGCCAATTATTAGTCCAGAGGTCACTTCTGAAAAGCTACAGAGCTCCAAGCCAAGGAGCTCCAAAGGGACTTTTCGAGGGCGGGGGGGGGGGGGGGGGGGCAGCTGACCTCCTTCCTTTTTTCTGGCTCTATGACATCAATGCCCCACACCTATAAATCCTGTCTATTTCCACAGGCTCCTCAAGCACCAGCAGAGCGCGTGGTCCCTCGCTCTGCTTACAAAGTCCTACTTCCTTTTACCTTTCCTGAAGCTTAAGACCTCAGGTGAATTAAAACCACGAGGTAAAAACAGACGAGTAACAACAAAGGGGGACCACAGACATCCCCCATCCTCCTCTCCCCTGCCTAAGAGCAGCTGCCTGTGACTATAACCAAAAAAGGTGAAGACCCAAGCGAAGAGTGCATATGAAAATAAAGATCACATACAAGGTTCATGCTCCCGAAAAGAATGATCCACACTCTTCCAGACCAACCTCACAACAGATCAGTGATTTTATTACAGGGGCTTTCAGCAAGGATGCTATTTCCTACAAGATACAAAATGGACCCCAGGAGCTTTATAGTGTCACTTTTTAGATGGTTTAAGAGGTATATTTAAATAAATGGATATTTTTTAATTAAGGTATTTGTCATGTCTCTGGAATTGGAAATCTTTCTGTTCATTCATCTCTTTGCTCTAGTGATAAATTTAATATTTTGCTAACATGACAACCAGTTTCAACCGAGACAAGACTATCATCGTAGGTAGATAGAGCAACTGAGTTGAAAGACCCTGAATTCAAAGTGTCCTCAACCACCTAAGCTGTATCCTACCTTTGAGTACTGTGAAATTCAACTTATTTTTACATATTATACGGCCATATTTTATTTAACATTTAATCTTATATTTGACCAAATATGCAGGTTTTTGCAAAATTATTCAGTAACTTTAAAAAAGTTTCATTGACATCCACTTTACTTGACAGGATCCATTCATCTGGCGAGCGTTCGAAGGTGCCCGTCATGTGCTCAACAGTGGGGTGCTATGGGGCGTGAGATTGGCGTGTTCCGTGCCCCAAAAGGGCTCGCTGGCCAGTGAAGCGCACAGGCAACAGACAAACACATCAATAAGCTAATCTCATGGCATGACAAGTGCCACAGAAGAAATAAAGATGGTGATGCCACGTGAGCTGGGGGAACAGCGCCTGGGCAGAGGAACCAGCAAGGGTATAGACCTCCTGTTTGGCTTGCTGCAGGAGGAGAGAGGAGGCCAGTGTGGCTGGAACTTGGTGAGGCCATAATTACGTCATTCACTTGGTTGCGCTGGTGGACTTAGCTCCTTCTCAGGTGTACCTGTGTCACAAACGGCACAGCCTTCATACGCTTTTTTTTTTTTTTTTAAAGATTTATTTACTTGACCGAGAGAGAGACAGTGAGAGAGCGAACACAAGCAGGGGGAGAGGGAGAGGGAGAAGCAGGCTTCCCGTGGAGCAGGGAGCCTGATGCGGGACTGATCCCAGGACCCTGGGATCATGACCTGAGCCGAAGGCAGACGCCCAACCGACTGAGCCACCCAGGCGCCCCAGCCTTCATATGCTCTTACATCAGCATTCGCCCACGGTGCTCTGGAACAAGCTACCAGAAACAGAAACCTCTCTGGACAGAGCGATTTTATGGACTCACCCGACTTCTGCTACCCTAGCAAATAAATGCCTATCCTAAGTCACAACTGAGTGACAGACAGCCCAGGGCTGTTCCTTATCTAGCCAGTCTTCCTCATCAGGCATCAGTGTGAAGCTCCACCAGCCAGGAAGCCCCACAGAACCCCTTTCAAGTGGCTGAAATTACAGGTGCAGTCTGGGGGAAATGGTTTTTCTCCCTTTCTGTCCCATTTTTTTTTTTTAAGATTTTATTTATTTATTTGAGAGAGAGAATGAGAGACAGAGAGCACGAGAGGGAGAAGGGTCAGAGGGAGAAGCAGACTCCCCGCTGAGCAGGGAGCCCGATGTGGGACTTGATCCCGGGACTCCAGGATCATGACCTGAGCCAAAGGCAGTCGCTTAACCAATTGAGCCACCCAGGGGCCCTCTGTCCCATTTTCAAGGTCAAGGTCCTTCTTTATTATTTAAATAATAGTCTACTGTTCATGAAGTAGTGCATGATTATTTTTGACTACTGAGCAGAATGAGCCGTAATACTCAGTATTTGTGATGTAGATGTAGGTATACACTGACAATATTTACATTTCCCTTTTTGGAGTTTACTGCTAATTCTTAATTTTTCTGCATGGAACAGGTACAATTAAAGACTTCCATGTGACAAAAGGAGAAAAAGATGAAAGCTGCTTGGTAGGGATCTGAATGAAAAACAAGCTCACTGCAAAAATAACATGCATATTTATCATATTCCAAGGTCCTCTTATATTCTTTTCCTTCTTCCAAATACAACAACTTTTAACTTATATAAAATAACAACCAAACTCTTTGAATAAGACTCATGAAAAATGTTATCTCAGGATCCTGGGACACAAAATAGCCTTTTAAATTTGTGTATGTTTTCCATTTGCAAAGCCATTTCACATGCATTCTTTACCTATTTATAAATATTTTGCTCGGTGCTGCTCCCCCATCAAGCTGGGGCAAGCTAGACTGGACAGTCAGGTGATGAGAACCAGGATCAGAAGGCCTGGGCTCTGAGTCGCAGCTTTGTGACAAGTCCCTGACCCAGCTGGGCCTTGGTAACCTTCTCTGTGAAATGGGATGAAAATGCTACAACTAACCTCGTAAGGTGGTGTGAGTATTAACAAAGGGTGTCCCACACCCTTAACCAGGTGCTGATCAGGCATCCATTCATCTGGTCATTTATTCATTTATCACAGGGCATGTCGCATCATCCTTACTTTACAGAAGAGGAAAAGTAGCTGCAGTTTGGTTGACTGGCCCAAGGTCACCCAGCTGATAGGAGGTGGAACCGACCTTCAATCCTGCGTCCAACTTCCCTGAGAGCCTCGCGGCTCCTGAGCACTTGTTGAAGATATACCTCTAGGAGAGCCAAATTCCATATACCCGACAACATCAAGGTCACAGCTAGAGCTTT